AGAATAAACTTTTATCAATAATAAGCTGAACTCCTCCCTAATACATGATCTGATAGGCCGGGATCAGAAGTGAAAAAAGCTGGATCGGGACGTCCCTACCTCAAAGTGCTTCTTTTTAAAGGTGAGACAGTGTATTCTCACCTGGCTTCCACTGAAGTGAACAGAGAGGTTTTTAACGTGCACAAAACTTTCAAAAACTCCACACAAAGTCCATTTAACCCCCACCAACAACTACCATCAGAATAAACCTTTATCACTGGTAAGCTGAACTCCTCCCTAATACATGCTCTGATAGGCCAGGATCAGAAGTGAAGAAAGCTGGATCGGGACATCCCTACCTCAAAGTGCTGCTTTTTAAAGGTGAGACGCTGTATTCTCACCTGCCTTCCACTGAAGTGAACAGCGAGGTTTTTAACGTGCACAAAACTTTCAAAAACTCCACACAAAGTGGAAAAAAAAAAACTCAGCTCGGTTTAAAGATGGTCTGATGGACCTTGTGGTGCGAATGCGCTCAGTTTAACCTGAAAGCGCATCTGGGGAGTCGATACACGCTTTACTCGGATTGGGACCTCCCTGCCTCCCGCCGCCTACCTTTCTGGCCACGCCCCTTTTCCAGCGGCGCTCCTGGGCGAAGTCGGCGGACAGCCACTGCATCTCCTCGCAGAGGTAGTCCCAGTGCACCTTGGGCCGCGGCGGCTCCGTCAGACGCGTCAGACGCTTCGTGGACCAGAAACCCTCCCGCTTCAGCGCCTGGGTCCGGTGCTCGATGTCGGCCTCCTGAGGGCAGAAGCAGTTAGAAAAAACAGACGGAAAACACCCAAAATGAGCCGGACAGCCTCCCGGGGGCCTTTTCGGCTGTTTTATAGAAGCTTACAGTGGGGGAAATAAGTATTTGACCCCTTGCTGATTTTGCAGCTTTGCCCACTTACAAAGAATGCTTATTTTTCCTCATCAGATGGTTATCAATTTTTATAAATTCATATGATGTGATTTTCTGGAATTTTCTTTGGGATTCTGTCTTTCACTGTTAGAAAGTACATATGATTAAAGTTATAGATCGTTGCATTCTTTGTAAGTGGGCAAACCTGCAAAATCAGCAAGGGGTCAAATACTTATTTCCCCCACTGTACATGCTCAAAAAGAAGCCTGATCTCACACAGACATCGGATCTGAGCGGTTTTTTGTATTTGGAGACAAAACGCATGAAGCCGTCACGTGTTTTGGGTGTTTTACAACCACAAACATCCGATTTCCAATTAATAAGATCAGATTAGACCACTTTACTGATCCCATAGGGGGGGAAATCCACATGTTATAGCAAAAAGATGCAAAAAAGATACACAAAACCAAAACGAGGAAACAAAATATGCCCAGCAGAGGCACAAGTAAAAGGTGTTTTAGACATTTTCCAGCTTTTTCTTTCTCATTCAATGGCTCCGTTCAAAAGTCTGCTGATGCACTGATGTGAGTCCGGTGTGTTTGAGGACCGGGGGGGGCGCATAGCTCAGCGGTAGAGCATTTGACTGCAGATCAAGAGGTCCCCAGTTCAACTCTCGGTACCCCTCCTTACTTTTTAACGCATAAATATAAACATTCAGACACCCCCAGCCTAAACTGCCTATCAGCAGTATTAAAGACAAAAACAGTGGCCATCTTGTTGCCTGTGAAAAAACAAAACTGATCAAAGATGGCCAAAAGTAAAGAGCCACCAAACAAATTAATGAATGGGTTACAGGATCAGATTTCCCTTTGACTCTGCATCCATCCATTTTCTATCCTGCTGCTTCCCGGTAGGGTCACAGGGGGCCGGGGGGGGCACTGCAGGGCAGCAGAGTCAGAGTCAAATTAAAGCCTCCGACTGGCCAGACCCAGAGCTCTTGTTTTTGGACTGTAGGAGAAACCGAAACAGATACCGAGGAGAGGAAAATGCAAACTCCTCACAGGAAGAAGCAGCCGGGATTCAAACCGGGAACCTCCGACTGTCATCAGACTGTGATCAGATGTGCTAAAATAACTAAAATAAGAAATAAAACCCCCCAGAGGGGCAACATGGAGCCAAAAGGAGCAGCAACATCCTACTCTACCATTCCTATAGTAGCTAAGTGGGAAAGCGGTTTGGAGACAGATTCAATGGACTGGGAAGGGAAATGGGATGAAGTTTTCAGTGCATCAAAGAACCCCAATCACCAGTTTATTCATTTCAAGTTTAGTCACAGCGCGTACTGGACACGATAGAGACTATGCAATAAAGATATTCCAGGTATCTAAAAACATATGGTTTGGGATTGTGGAGAGGTTAAGTCTTTTTGGGAAAGAGTAATTTTTAATTTATCTGAATTATTAGAATTGGAGATCCCATTACAACCAAGTTTACTGTTACTGAATGACGACTCACAGTTTGAATGTACAGAGAAACAGCAAAAAAACATTTTTTCCCCAGAGGTGGCTCCCCCAACACAAGCTTCCTATTAAAAAATGGCTGTTATACTTTCAAGACGTTATAATGATGGAACCGTCTACTGCAAGAATCCACGGGGCACGAGTGTCAACAATACAAATTTGGGAAATTTAAAGACTTGGTGGCGAATCACGCACAATGAGATGTCTCACACGCTTTGTCCTTTTTTTTATTTTTATTTAATTTTCATTTATGACCTAATGGGTCATGTGATTTGTATCTAAGGTTGGGGTGGGTGGGTATTGATCACTGACTTTGTAATGCTCCTGTTTCCCAGCTTGGGAATTTGTTCTTAAAGGGGACTTATTATGCAAAACCAAGTTTTTAATAATTTGATTATGTACATTTGGGACTGTGGAGGGCCTATCAGCAGGAAAAGTGTGAAAAAAAATGACTCAGTCATTTTTTTGTGGGCCGCCTCAGTCTGAATCCAGGAGATAAATCAGGAGGTTTCAGGAGTGGGTAGTTTCTGACGTCATTAGCTCTAGCTCATTATAATATTCCAGCCTTTCACCTGCATGTTGCCCCCCCCCTCAGCTTACTCCCCTATCTGTGGAGACGTCCTGGTAGCTTGAGCGTTAGCATGGTAGCGTTAGCATGGTAGCGTTAGCATTAGCATGGTAGCGTTAGCGGGCCGACGTGGGCACACCTCCCTGAAGAAGTGGGTGGATTGCCTGTGTCTCATTTGCATTTAAAGAGACAGGCACTCCAAAGCGAGCGCTCTGAACGGGGCTGTTTTGGGTTAGGGTTAGGGTTAGGGTTAGGCAGGGGGACTGAACTGCTATTGGGCTTCATCCTTATGGGATTATGACCAAAGCTTGTCACAGACATTACATTAGGACACCAGGGAGCTAGCTTAACTTGTCGAAATAGGGTATAATATGTCTCCTTTAGGGTTGTCACGATACTAAAATTTTCAACTCGATACCGATACTCAGGAAAATACTCGATACTCGATACCATTTTCGATACCACAAGGATTAAAAAAAGACCCCAAAATTTAAATGAATTTTGACAGGTTAGTGTCTTTCATTTCAAACTGACCTGTTACTAATGTTATCGTGACTGGTGGCCCGCATTAATAACCCTAACCCTAACCCAAACCCTCCAGCCTTCATAATTGTGAGAAATAAATATTTTTTGGTTAAACTTGTTTGGACTTATTGTACAAACCTATCTAATATACACAATTTAACATAATAATATGTATAGAGTTTAATTAAGTGTTTGAAAGATTAATTTCACAATTTTTAAATGAATCTCTATATTGCCATGAAGCAATTAGGATTTTCTTGCCTGGAATCTTCCTATTGTTAATGTAACTATAATGGCCGACTTCGATGTGGGCGGAGTCGGACATTTACTTGATTAATGGTAGCACGTCATTATTAGCCATTAGCCGAAGCTAGCAGTTCAAGGCTAACGTCTTGTTAATGACCATAAACAACGTAAAAAAATACATAAATAAATCAGAGAAAAAGGGCGACGGCAGGTCAGTGTCGCGGTGGCCGCGCGCGCGCTCGCGCGGTAGTATCGATACTTTTGAAAATGAGTATCGTATCCGGATACAACATTTT